GCAGCATAATAATCCTTAGCATCCAATGCTTCAACATCATTAAAAACCTTCAACAAAGCTTGTTATTAGTACTATAGACTTATAACTAGACTTATAGACTTATTAGTAGTTAGTACCTTATCAGCTGTGACATGAGCCATAGAGCATTAAAAAGTACAGAAGTCTTTGTCTATGCTGGGCTAATGGCTAGCCAAACAATAAGACATTTTATATCAGGTTTTATGGTTCGAAAAGAAAACTCTCAAAACAACATTCTGGAGTAAAAGAAAGTTACATTAAACCTGTACACATTTATTCGGTTTGTCGCTATTTTTTAAAGGCTGAGCACGGATGGTACCGAGAGGCTGCTGAATGTTTCAGTACGCCTGATCTGCACGTCTAGTCAGCCAAAATTTTACTCTACTCTCGACTGAAACATCCAACGGCACGTGGCCTGCAGCATATAAACATCAAGATACAGTTTCAATAGACAGGACAAAAAGCAGAAAGTTAAAGCTACAAAGGATAAACGCGCACTAGCTACAGTACCGTTTTTAAGTCGGACCTTTTCATGTAAGCAAAAGGGACATTTTCGGGACATAAATAAAAAGGACCAGAAGGGCATCTGCCATAAAGACAATTAACAAGCCTTTGTGCGAGTTTGCTTGCTGCGGCAACCCCTGAGAAAGGGAGCAGCCAAAAGGGAAAAAACATTTATAACCTTGACCCCAGCCCAGCCATACCATCTGAGGAACATCAGAACATGTTCTATACATAAGTGCCATTTGCTCGTCTTCAAAACAGATCAATGATTTTCAATTCAATTATCTGCTTTCTAAACACTGAATACAATTTGTTGAACTGTCAACCTGCACCGTCGTCAAAAAATTCATCCACAAATAAACAAAAACTGCTGAGTAACAGCAATAAAAGGGTTGTGTAACTTTCTCCACTTCACTTTGTTGACACTGAACATCAAAAACAGGGGTGGGGGTAGAGTCAAACACACCTAGTGCCCAAAGTCATGTCGACTCCCATCAAAATATTGAAAAGATTTATAGAGCAGACAGATGAGCAAAAACTCTAACACACCCATTAAATTGCTCAGAGAAAATTAGAGCCAGTAAAACCAGTCTGCTGCAGCCTTCAACCAACAGGCACGTCACAAAACTGCGCCACAAATCCTGTCTTCCTCATTTTCTCCTTCTGTTTTCTGAATAAAACCACTGGAAGTGGCCTTTCCTCTGAAGCGAGGGGGACCAAAATGTGTCTTGCTTTGTTCCTCAAAGTTTTGTTTTAGTCTTCTTCTTTTTAAATCCAAACTTTTATATTCACCCACTGCCAGCAGACAAAGGTGGGCGATGAGTCTTTGAACAAGTCTGTTACCTGAAGATTTCATGAAGCGCTGGATCAAATGTAATGAAACGCTCAGAAAGTAATTATTGAACGCTTATTTACAGACGATTAAATTCTGGAGCAAATCGCGACCAACTGACCTGAGAAAACACAAAAATTGCCCCAATTAAACCAGTTCAACATACAACTGAAATAAAATGTGTGTGGTCCTAACACATAGCCTACATGGAGTGTGACTACTTCCACTATTACGTGATGTTGCACTTTCTTTCCCTCACGGTTTCACCACAACAGCTCCTCTACCATCATTTCTCAACATAAGATGATTTTAGTCTTAATCATTTCCCCAAATAAATTACATAATATTAAAAATAGCCAGAGCTGCTGCCTCTCAGCGAGCAGGTCCTTGGTTCAAACCCCGGTCCAGGGGCCTTCTGGGTGGAGTTTGCATGTTCTCTCCGTGCATGCGTGGGTTTTCTCCGGGTACTCCAGTTTCCTCCCACAGACCAAAAACATGCATGTTAGGCTGATTGGTAACTCTAAATTGTCCCTAGGTGTGAGTGAGAGAGTGAATGGTTGTTTGTCTCGTTTGTCTCTGTGTGGCCCTGTGATGGACTTGCGACCCGTCCAGGGTGTACCCCGCCCCTCGCACAGTGATTGCTGGACATGGGCACCAGCGACACCCGTGACCCAAAATGGAATAAGCGGGTAAAGACAATGGATGGATGGATGGATGGATAAAAATAGCCTTTAAGTGTGTATGCCATTACTGCAAGATTTTAGGACCTTTATGTAAATGTACACATCTTAGTTAATGCTACTGCTCTCCAAAAATCACAAAATGTCCCCACTCATCTTAGTGATGCAGTAACTCCTGCCTTTCTCCATGTTGACATGGAGCTGCATGGTTATTGCGTCCCACACAAAGGTGTGGGGAACACGAGGCAAGCCAGTTTTCTTCTCTTCTAAATGATTATCATTAAGAGATCTTAGCATTCTCTCTGAGCAGTGAGCGCTGATAAGTGAACCTGCGGGGCATACACGCTCATCTATAAAACCAGACTCATTCAGTGTCAGATGTTTGTAGATGAACATTAAAAAGCCTGCACTCATTTGACAAACGCCAGAATAATAACCATTTCACTCAAACCTTGAAATAAAACTGACATCGCTTCATCAGTTGGTGCTCTGAGTATGTTTAGTGAATGACTCTCAGCTACTATCATATCGTCTTTGAGTACAATATGAGAACAACTGACTAAGTTATAGCCACTTTCTATTGTTAATTCACTGTAGTGACAAACTTACACATCGGGTTGACTTCAAATGTTAAACAGTTGTAGATGGACATCTACTTAGGCCTGTGATAAGCAATAAATCAATTAAACGCATGATAAATGAAAATTATCGACCTCATTTTCATTTATCAGCTTTATCGTTTCTTCGTGTCTCTCTCTTTCTACTGAAGACACTCGATGAGAAAAGGCTCAACTCCGGTGCTCTTCACTGACCCCTCCCTTTCTCTTTAAAATCTGTTTTAACGATCCAAAATCTCATTTTTGGATCGTTAAAAGCAGCTAAGCTGAGAAGCTAAGCTACGAGCTAAGCGAACAGGCAGACCTCGGGGAAAAAAACCTCCGTCCTGTAAAAGCTATAAAATTCACGGTTGAAACCCGTGCCTTTGTCTAAAAAGTTTTTCTCTGCAAAAAGAAGCTGAGAACTGGCTTACCAATTTCTTTTGTTAAAAGCTTTGTGTGAAAAATGCTATGATAAAGATCTCAAAACACACAGAGCATCCGCCATTTTGAGAACCGAAGAGAGACAGCCCATGCCACGTCAAGGTGCCTCCCTCCCATTTTTCTTAGAGACACGCTGCTCACTCCCTCACTACCCATCCTTCAGTTCAAACAGTCTTATACTGCCATACAGTGGTCAAAAAAGGTACTACACACAAAATTAACCAACATTTATTCTTAAATTTGACAACAACTACTAATTATTGTCAAATTTCAAACAATATTATCGTTTATCACAAAAGTTTGAGACAATCGCCCAGCAAAATTTGTTATTGTGACATGCCTACATCTACTGTTTACTTACCAAGAGTTTCAAAAGAATCTATGAAGTGGTTTATGAGATATTTTGCTAACAGACAAGACTGATACAAACAGTAAATGCCAACATTAGTGCTTGGGTTATGAGTTGGAGGACGACACTCGGTTACTACAAAACTAAATTCTTGCTCAACACATTATGTGTTGGTGATCCATCTTAGCTATTACCATGTCAAATTATAGGTCAATATAAAAAAAAAACGTGTTATAGACGTTTGTTTATGTTTACTAAGTTTGATTACTTGTGATAGCCATTTTAAAAATAAGATTGGCTCTCTAATCCAGTCTGCTGTAGATGTACAATCACTTTTTGAGAATTGTAATAAATCCAGTGGTTCACGGAATAAGACCTGGGCAAAACCATAATGGCAGCACCTTTTCCTTTCTCTGGCGGGAGATAAAAAGCAGAGCCAGCATGACTTCATGTCAGCTGGTAAACATGGTGAGCTCAGTCGGCTTTAAGGCCGATGATCTCTCTGCAAACAAATGACTCAGTGAGTTCAGAAATGTTTTTTCAGATTAAAGCAGTGGCGATCTTAGCCAATTTTCTGGGGTGCTCAAGCACCCCTAACTTTTAACTGGGCACCCCTGAAAAATAAAGAAACCATAAATACGATTTTGTAACTAAGCTTCGTTTTCAAACCATAGATTCACCAAAATATTTAATAAATCTGAAATAAATATGGAATAAATAAAATCTGTTATGTTTTTATACAAATCGGATCCTCGACACCACCTGTCAATCAATCCAGCAGGTTTGTCAGCAACTGACAATTTGTCCCAAAGTGAAACGCACCTTAATTGCAGGAGCTGCACCCCCTTTTCCCTCCGACAGCATTATAGGGGTTTTGCATTACAAACACTTTGTGGTCTTAGGGGTTTTGTGAAAAATCATCAGAAAATATGGTTAAACGTCAGTGGAGAAAGATGCAGATCAGACAAGTGTGACCCTGAGCGTTTAGAGAGTGGAATACAGTTTACTCCATTTCTAAAACCTAAACTGAGTCTGGAAAAATGTAAACGATGATAAAGCCCTGCAGCCGAATACAACAGTGATAAACAGGAAGTGCCACATGTTCATCTATACAAGTAAATCCTCCATTTTCTGTCATAATTACATCGTATGCTTAACTGTTAAATTAAAAGTTAATGTTTAAAGCTAGTTGTACTTTGTATGTAGATATATGTTGCAACTTCTAGTTGCATGTTTAGTTTTTGTTTGCTATGATCCTTTAAAAGTCCTATTGGTGACCGAGCTCCTCGTTTACATCCATACCACCCTGAGCATGCATGATCTCAGCTCTGGTTAGTATTTGGATGGGAGACCCCCTGGGAATATCAGGCGTTGTAAACATTTACACTTCTCACAAACCACACCACGGGGTGTGTTGTTCAACCAAGAGCCATTGGTAATGGGGGCTATGGGCCCCCCTAAAGGTCAGATCCTAGAATCGCCCCTGGATTAAAGACAAACCCAGCATGTCAGTGTGTGCTCCTCGTTTTAACTAAACAGCTTCAGTTTCCTTCAGCTGCGGTTCGGTCTGTGTTTACCTTTTCGTCCTCTTCCCCTGGTGTCTCGTCTTGTCCCCGGTGTCCACTGTCCTCCCGGTCCGACTTTTGACAGCCTTTACTGTCCAGCTGAGAAGTCGTGTCCTCCACCTCCTCGGAGATTGTGTGGGAACTGGAGGAGGAAGACATGCTGTCGCTGCTTCCTGACGGCAGAACCTGTGGTTCTTCCATCTTGTCAACATATAAAAACAAAGCAGACTTTCATTAACGCGTCACACAGAGCACCTGCGCTCGGTTCATTTCTCCTCAACGCGCTGCGACACTCCGGCTTTCTTTTTCCGCTCGAGAGAAACAAAAGTCACATCGCTGACATTTGCTGGAAACGTATCTATGTAAAGAATCGGCTCTGAAACTCCCTTACAGCCGGGCTCCCCGGTTCTGGTGTCAGCTGAGTCCATTCAGGTGGCGCTGCAGAAACTCAAGTCACCCAACAACTACTGCCCAACATCAAACAGCCCCGCCCACCACCAAACAGCCCCGCCCACAATTCACTTTCTACAATTACTAATGCGCATGCGCAGGATCAGGCACCACACCACCAAATAATTCAGTTCAATTTCTTTTATATATATATATATATATATATATATATATATATATATATATATATAATGTTAAAAATATCAAGTCAATGTGTACATTAAAAAAAAAGATCAAAACTGGATTGTTAAAAAAATATATATGAAGTAGCTTAGTGTGTTTTTTTGTATTAGAATTTGAAAAATTAGAAAGAGTTATTCATTTTGTTCTGTTACTTGAAAATTATTATGATTGAAATAATTGTTTGAAAAAAGGGGCAGATATAATAAGATTTTTTTCTTCTTTCTGCTGCCTTTCATTTTAAATCTTTTGTATCTTTTTTTATATATATGGTATGGTATAGAGAGAGAGAGAGAGAGAGAGAGAGAGAGAGAGAGAGAGAGAGAGAAAACTCACGGGAGACGTTGTCTCAGGGCACTGTACAAAAACATTCACATACATAAAAAGCTAATTAATGTTATCTGTCTAAGGAAGGAAGCCAGCACTTGAATCTTTACTTCGTCACAGTCTCCCATTCTAAGCAAGTACATTGATAACAGTGGAAAGGAAAAACTCCCTTAACAGGAAGAAATCTTTAGCAGAACCAGGTTCAGGACGAGCAGCCATCTGCTTCAACCAGCAGGGGTTTGAGATGACAGGAAGGAGAAACAAACACAGAATGGCAGGTCCAGGTGTGCTTTCTACTGACACACACACACACACACACACACACAACAGATGTTAACGATATAAATAATTACAAATACAAACAGATAGAGTAGAGCAATTGAAGACAGCAGCAGCAAAATGTGGTCTATTTGTTGTCCAGCAGTCCAAGCCTATAATAGCATAACTAAGGGATCGCTCAGGAAACCCAAGCCATCACTAACTATAGGATTTATCAAAAGGAAATACTTAAGTCTAATCTTAAAAGCAGACAAGGTGTTAGCCTCACAGACAGAAAGTGGAAATTGGTTCCCCAAGAGAAAAGCCTGATAACTGAAAGCTCTTCCATTCAATTCAATTAAAAATACTTTATTAATCCCAAAGGGAAATTAAATGTTGTTGTAACTCATTATCCTTGTTTCATTAAGAGATGTTATAGATACTGGTGGCTGTAGACAGGAAGGATCTTTTGTAAAGATCCATCCCACAGCGGATCCAAAGAAACTGGCCACTGATGCGTCTGATCCATCCATCCAGATTTGGCTGTCTTCTCAGTTCCCCAGTGCTGTGGACTGCCCGAATGCCAGGCAGAACTCCTCCCCAAGTGATGGCCACACTACCCAGCAGCCTCCTCGTCGCTGGGGACAGCCAGGTGCAGGGAGACAATCCCGGTCCCTCTCTTTCACAAGCTGTGTTTCCTGCCAGTTCCAGGATCTCAGTTGTCAGGCACTCGAGCACAGCGGGCAGGTAGATGGGAATGCATCCATGGTGCCTCCTTTGTAACTTTGCCTCGTTTTCTACTTTTGGAAACTCTAGGAACCTCAAGTACAGCTGCAGTTTGAGAGAGAAGTGCTCTGTTAGGAAAATATGAAACAATAAGATCTGTAATATAAGATGGAGCTAGATTGTTGAGAACTTTGTAGGTTAGAAGTAAGATTTTGAATTCAATTCTGGATTTGACAGGGAGCCAATGGAGAGAAGCTAAAACTGGAGAGAGATGATCTCTCCTACTAACTCCAGTTAAGACTCTGGCAGCAGCATTTTGGATCAACTGAAGACATTTTAAAGACGTATTTGGACACCCAGATAATAAACCATTGCAATAATCCAGTCTAGACGTGACAAATGCATGGACCAGTTTTTCTGCATCATCTTTGGAAAGAAGTTTCTAATTTTAGTGATATTACACAGATGGAGGAAAGAGATTCTGTACCATTTTAAATGTGAGGGTTAAAAAATGTTTCCTGATCAAAATAACACCAAGATTTTAGCAATAGAACTGGGGGCCAAGTTAATGCCATCCAGAGAAAGTAAAGACCGAAAAATGTATTCCTAAGATGCGCAGGTCCAAAAACCACAACCTCTGTCTTGCCTGAGGTTAAAAGCAGAAAATTAATGGTCATCCAGGATTTTATGTCTTTAAGACATACTTGTGATTTAAGTAACTGACTGGATTCATTGGGTTTCATGGACAAATATGACTATCACAAGTATAACAATGAACATTTATCCCATGCTAACTAATAACTTTACCTAATGGAAGCAAATATAAAGTAAAGAGTATTGGCCCAAGCATTGAACCCTGAGGAACTCTATGACTAACTTTGGTGTATGAAGAAGATTTATTATTTACATTTACAAATTTGAATCTATCAGATAGATATGACTTAAACCATTTTAGAGCTGTTCCTGTAATTCCAACATCATATTCAAGCCTCTGTAGTAAAATATTGTGATCAACTGTATCAAATGCAGCACTGAGGTCTAACAGGACCAGTATAGACACAAGTCCATTGTCTGAGGCCATGAGAATATCATTAGTGACTTTTATTAGTGCTGTTTCTGTGCTATGATGAGCTCTAAACCCTGACTGAAACTCTTCAAACAGATTATTGCTGTCTAGATGTTCACACAATTGATTTGCAACTACTTTCTCAAAAAAAAAAATTAGATGAAAGTTGGCGTAGATATAGATCTATAATTGGCTAGAATTCATGAAACAAGATCAGTTATATAAAGGTTTGATTACAGCAACCTTAAAGCGCTGTGGCGCATCACTATTCATTAAAGACAAATCCAAAATGTGGACATTAATTAGGGGACATTCTTCTTTAAACAGTCTAGTTGGGATGGGATCTAGTAGACATGTTGATGATTTGGATGAAGCTGAAACTGAATTTAGTTGTTGGAGGTTGTGAGGTTACACACTCGTACAGTAGGTGGCGTTGTGCACCGGAAGAAGAAGAAGACTGTGGGGAGAGTGGAGTAACAAAAACAGGGAGACAGAGTAAAACACAAGGATCAGAAAACAAAATATAAATCACAAGGAGAACAGAGACAAAAGAAAACAAGGCAAACAACAGAAAAGGTCCATTTATGACAGTATGTATGTTCAATGAAGAGTGACAAAGATCCAAAGCATATTTTACTTTTTTTTATTGTATATTTTACATTTACAAGTATTACAATAAGTTGTACACGGAGGGTCTTAACATTTCTTCTTAAACGACTGTTTAAAGATTTACTACTCAGTCAGACACAACAACACTGGGCCAAATACCCTGATAAACAATCTGATGTACAATCAATCAGATCGGATCATTCAGACAAAAAAAACTTTAAAACTCACCTCTCCAGTCAGCTATTTGTGTGGTCTGAGTGTTCACAACTTGCTGTGATGGATGACGATACAGTGTCCTCTGGTCTGACATGGTAGCACTGAAACAACCATCAGCCTTGTTCCACAACAACTTGAACATCTGAATGGAGAGCACAGAATGTCTCCGTTTAGTAAAACACATGCATTTGTCATAGAAGGTAATCTGAAAAACCATTCTCACTTTTTTCACAGGAAATTCTAGCAATACGATCCCATACCTGCAGATCTACATCAAAGTTTCCTTTAGAATGATGACTGTCAGTGCAGCATGGAAAACTGTGGACAGACTTCATGCTTTGGTGCTTTGGACATTTTAGCATTTGTTGACAGAGACATCCACATCTGCTGTATCTTTTTTGTGGCGGTCACCAGCAGCCCTTGATTCAGTGACAGTCTATTCAAGGCAATGATGCATATTCAAATATGCTAAATAATATAGAGAATGAACTATGAATTGTTTAATGTAAAACTGTAATTAATTCAGTTTTTAGTCACAGTAAATGTTGTTGATCTGTGTGAATATCCTAATACAAATGCATTTATGTAGGTAATCACGTACACAGAAAAGTTTTGATCTACATATTGTTATTTTCAATTTAATATTTAAGGATATATTTTTTTTTAATTTGGGGGTAAAAATTTTCCAAACTAACACAGAATGTCTGTGTCATTTATAGGAATCAACGTTTGTTAAATAATTACCAGAAAGTGACTACAAACAAATTTTGACTTGAATAAAACTTTACGTATCACAAGAGCAATAACATTCAAATACATATAGCTTTTTTTTTATTCTTTCAATGCCTTCATACTCCCTTACTGCAGAACGCAGTGACAGCTTGGTACTGCACTGCACAGTCGTCCAACTGAGTCAACCAGCTTGACTGGAAATGAACATGTCACCTGTAGACAGAAAATGCTGAAAGTCGGGGAAAATTTGAAGTGGAAAGAAAATTCACATATGACAAATTAATTTGTACATATAAACACATACACATCATCCTAACCTAGCGTTATTTGTGTCCACAACCCAGCATTAGGCAGATAATATTTTGTTTTATGGTCTATCGCAGGGGTTCTCAAACTTTTTGGGTTCAGGGGCCCCTTACAGGGGAGAAGACCCCCTCATAACCCTCATGTTTATTCAGTAATTTTATTCAATTTGTCTCTTTAATGCAATGAAAATATTTGTGTAACATAAATACTTAAGATCTGTTCTTTAATAGAGATAATATAATTTTTATAATTTTAAACATGGGTATTTTTCATTCAAGACACAATTAACAAAAATTAAAAATTTCAAAACTTTACCTATTTACATAATAAACATAATAAATGTATCACCACTTCTTCAAATTATTACATAAAACTATTTACATAAAACTGAACAGAATCAGAACAGCAGTAGTCATACCAAGTAACAGCTTAATTTGTAAACCTATCAATACCGGAACACAAATAGTGGGTGGAGGTCTGGGGGTCCTCCTCCAGAAAATTTTGAATTAAGTAGATGTAATTTCCTGCATTTTGGTGTATTTTAACAGGTTGTTAAACATCGATGTACTTGTAAAAAAAAAAAAAGGTTTTT